TTGAACGAATTCAATTGAAATTGTATTAAAAATAATTGAAATTCTGCGATAAATTTTATTATTCATAATAATAATTAAATTACTGCAAAGAAATTTATAAAAAATATTTTGTAAATAATTGAATTTCGAAAAAGAATTTTATTATTTTTGAAGATATTTGAAATTTTGAAAAGTTTTTAAAATTTTTAAACATAATTCAATTTTTTGCGAAAGGATTTTAATAAATTTTTCAAGAATAATTTCGATTTTCAAGAAATTTCTTTAAAATTGTATTTAAAAAATAATTGAAATTTTGCAATAAGTTTTATTATTAATGAAAATAATTGAATTCCTGTAGAAAATTTTTATTATTTATAAAAATAATTGAATTATTGCTTAGGAATTCATAAAAAAAATTTGTGAATAATTGAATTCCTATAAGATTCTTATTATTAATGAAAGTAATGAAATATTTGCGTAGAATTTTATTAAAATTCTTTTAAATAATTAAATTCGTTTGGAAAATTTTATTAAAATAGATATTGAAAATCATGAAATAGAGAGAAATTTTGAAAATAATTTGAATTTTGACAAGGATTTTATTTTATTTTTTGAAAGCAATTGAATTTTGGAAATGAATTTTACAATTAACAAAGATAATTGAATTTCTGCGAACAATTTTCTTTTACTTTTAAAAAGAATATTGAATTTCTGCAATAATTTGTAACTTCTACAAAATTAAATTTTTTTCTAGTGCAGTGTTAACTAAAATTTTTTCTATAAATCCATTATTTTTAATAATTTTTGAAATAATTTTTTGAGAATTTTCAAACTTATTTGTTTTAAACTGAAATTCATTTTTACATCAATTTTCATTATAAAATTCTACTAGAATTCAATCATTTAAATACAAAAAAAAAATTGAATTATATTGCCAAGAAATTTAACAAAAAAATTAGTAAATAATTGAATTTCTGTAAAATTTTTATTATTTTATAAAAATAATAGCTATTGAAAATCATTAAATTGAGGAAAATTTTTGAAAATAATTGAAATTTTGTCAAGAATTATATTAAAATTTTTGAAAATAATTGAATTCCGAAGATAAATTTTATTATTTATAAAGATAATTTAATTCTTGACGAGGATTTTTTAAAAAATTTTTAAATAATTTATTTTTTCCAAAGTATTTTATTACTTTTCAAAAGAATTGAATTCTAGTGATGAATTTTGATATTTATCAAAATAATTGAATTTTAGAAAAGAATTTTATTAAAATTCCTTAGAATAATTGATTTTTAGGGAAGAATTTTGTTGTTTATTAAGCTAATTAAATTCTTTTGCAGAATTACTTAAAAATTTTTGAAAATAATTGATTTTCTGCGTCGAATTAAATGTTATTTATGAAAATATATTTGAAATTGCAACGAATTTTATTATCTTATTGAACAACTATGAATGCTTTTCAAAATTGAATTCTTTCCTCAAGTTTTAATCAAATTTTTAAGAAAAAAAAGAAAATTTTCAAGGAATTTTTTTAAAATTAAATTAAAAATATTTTGAAATTCTGCAAAGAAAATAATTGAATTACTAAACCAAATTTTTATTATTTATGAAAATAATTGAATGTCTTCGTAGAATTGTATCAAAAATTTTTCTCAATAATTAAATCTTTTGATAAAATTTTATGAAAATAGTAAATATTAAAAATAATTATTGATTTGCGAAAAACTATTGAAAATAATTGAAATTTTGCAAATCATTTGTAATTTCTCTAAAAATTTTCCAAAATATATCGTATTAATTTGCGAACTTTTTGTCTTTTTTTAATCAAATTACGGACCTTTTTTTAAAAAAAAAATTGACTTTTACGGACATGAAACAAATTTACGGATCTTTACGTGATTTACGAATCTAGTTCGAGCCCTGTAGTAACCATATAATAATATAATGTTAATAAAATTATTTCACGAAATTTATATTTCTTTCTAATTAAAAATCACTAAAACTTAGTGGAATTCATGTAGAAATACTATAGAATCGTTTTTAGTGAAATTCTACAGAATATTCATTAGAATTCATATAGAATGATTCGCTAGTGAAATTCTATAGAATTTTCAGCTTTTTTTCAGCTGGGCACCTAGATTTTACGGAAAAAAAACCGTACAAGGCCTCTTAAATAATTAAACAATTAAATAACAACGGTTCAATTACAACATAACAAATGTTTTAATTAAAACAAAAGTTTTTTTCTTTTAATTGGAAGAAGAAAATTCTCAATATCAAGTTACATAGATAAATCCATTAATTTTCCTTTCTTTGGAATAAAATTCGATTGTGTATATTACAAATGCATTTTATTTGGAATTGGGATATTTTCGAGATGCCTGCTTCCTAATGTATCATCCCTGATAATGAAATTAAAATCTATTCCATAACAAAATGAGTTTATTTCAAGAGTCTTTCAAAAGTCTTTTCCAATCTGTCTATTTTAGACAATAAAAATTAATTTCCAGTAATTACTTTCTTCGTTCCAGTATAGTGTGTCTCAAGAGAGAATAAATGTCGGTTCTTAAAAAACAAATGAATCATAAATTCTCTCATACTTTTTCATCCTCACAATTTTTTGATCTATAATATCAAGGCGAAAGATGGGAGAAAAAGTTTTTCCTCTTGGTTGGTGAAAATTCTCTCCGCAGGTGTGTGTGTGTATGTATAGCTTACTGAAGAAATGAAAAATGAGTGCAATAGGGATGCACACTGGACTTAACTGATCTTTTTAATAAAAATTTCATGTAAAGTGGCTCACTGCGGCTTTTGATCTTCAGTGCACTGTCTGTGTATATGTGTGTGTGTGTGTGTGTGTGTGTGTGTGTTGGTTGGTGGGGAAGGGTTTACTCTGTAGTGCACTAGAACTAAATAGACGATTCGTCTGATTTCTCCCTCACGCATTATAGTGCACAACGGCTACTGGGTCTGAGTGACTTCCGGTGGGCTTCCATTATCCTTCCGGGAGGCTGACGTCCGTAAACCTTTATGAGCCGCTTCAATTTCCCCTTACGTTTCAAAACCATGTATACTGGAATACTGCTCTCTACAGTAGAGTCAAGATACTGCAAACTCCCCCCTCCCCCATGGATAAGGGACTTTCCTCGCTCGGCTTTTAATAACATTAAAATGTCACATTAACATTAGAGAGTGAGTGTACCTCTCATTAGAGGAAAAAGTACTCTTTAATTTACTTTCTATAATTAAAGAATTTGAATTTTCTTTTGCCATTCATTTTCTTCGCATAATGAAGGATATTAGGATATTAGGATATATTCTGTAGGATATTTCATTTTATCTTTATGTATACAGATTAATAGTTATTATCAGCTTGAATCATTAGGATAGTAAAAAATAATTTTCTCAAAAACTATATATTAGGGGGAGCTACACGGAGAAAAAAATGCTGTTGAATCAATGACATATGGGTTTGATTCATTGAATAGTGTCATAACGGGCTGCCTAACGTATATGCTGTTGTTTTGAAAGCACCGATTCTAATGATTCGATAGTATCACTTTCTTTGAAACAAAAGCATATTTCTCAAATTGACAGCATACTATGTTAATTCGAAGGTGAATCCTTTTGAATCAATAAACAAAATTTTTTAATTTAACAGTATATGCTTTTGAATCAATGACTATAACTTTTAAATTTAAAAGCATCATTTTTATGATTCAAAAATTTGTACTCTTAATTTTTTTAGTTGTTGCTATCGATTGAATAACACCATACTGTTAATTCAATTCTTTTATGTGGTTAAATATATACCAACGATAAATTGAAAAAAGGGAATTTTTGTTCACATGTTTTTTATATACTATAATTAATTCTCACACCTTTAACACAACACTTTTTATACACATCTTTTTTTCAATTTTTCACACTAACATATACATCTTTATTATTATTTTCATTTTTCCCAACGGCTAAACACACACACACACATACACATTCAAACACACTTGTCTTTTTTAGTCAGAAAAATACGGCTATTCCCAAGCGGTCACCCATCCATTTAGTAACCGCGACCAACGACGCTTAACTTCCGTGATAGACGAGAACCGCCGCGCTGCAATGTAATACATCCGCTTCTCAACGTTGGGCACTTACTTTGTGGTTAAATACCGTGCTCGAGATTTTTCGCGTATATAAGGGAATTTATATAGGGAATTTATATTTAACTAGTCATTAATTAATTAAAAGAATTTAAATAATACTTTTTTATATTGGAATCTCAAAAACGACAGGTTTAATAAACATATAAATATATGTGGGTAAGTATTTCAATAAATTTAGTACCTGTCAATGTCTCAAAACATAGTGTTCTTAATTTTATAGCATATGCTATAGGCAGTCCGCAATAGCACCACTCATTGAAACGAAAGCATATGCTTTCGTTTTCAGAGCGCGCTTCTTTAGAGCAAACAATTTTTCATTTGATTTAAATTTACACGCATTTTCTTCAAATTTACCTATTAGATGCTTCAAATGAATAATGTCAAAGAAGCAAAAAAATAATTCTGTTGCTATATATAGATGAACTATAGAAACAATTTGCACAATATCATTAATTCTACAGTACCGTACTTTTAATTTAAACAGTTTCATTTTTTCATTTTAAGCAATATACTTTTCGATTAATAAATGTGTCATTGAATCAATGACGGGGAATTCAATAGCATGGAGATATTTGATTCAACAGCACTTTTTTTTCAGTGTAGAAATTTGTTATTCATCAAGACTGGAATCTAATTACTTCAGTAATTAACTGAACCAATTTATGTAATGTTTTCTTCGACGCCTTATTGACTTATAGTTTCAAGTCTATTTTTATATTTGGTTTGTATTTTTAAATTAAATGAACTTATTGAAAAATTGTGTCTAATGGATTAAATAAATAGAATAATATTGTAGTTACCTAATAACGAAATAATTTGAGTAATCAGAAACTTTTTTTAGAAACTACTCACTTGAGACCAGCAACGATTTCCATAGCTGAATTAAAGTTTCCAGTATTCCAACAAGTTTGGGCCACTCGTAAAAGGCAGGAGAGGATGGCTTGTCGCTCCTCGATAGTCGCGCCACTGGTTATTGCGTGGGTTACCCATGAGCTCACCTGATTCATAAAAAAGAAAAAAAAATGAAAAATGTACTCTGAACATAAATAAAATTTTATTTTTCTCATAAAGAGAATGACTTTTTATGTTCTATTTCCATCTTGAAGTAAAATTCATGTTGGATATTAAGGAAAGTAAATCGCAACTTCTTTCTTCATATAGTCTTAATAAACATATTCCATACTAAATGTAGTACAAGATTTTAAATATATTTCAAGTTTTTATCTTCTTCGATAACATTATTTAAATTTTTACTATTTTTTCACTAATAATACGATTATATGTCTAATTATTTTTATGGTACCACTACCAGTTTTTAGTTAATATTTACATAAAACAATTTTTCTGTTTTTGAAATAATATTTTTTTTTCAGTTTTGAAATCAAACAAAACAAAGTTTCACAATATATACACTGGGCGACAGATGAAATGACAATGGAGTATCATTTTCGTACTTTATTCTCTAGTCTGACTATATTCAACTTCTTCTACTGTGATTCTCTCGGCTTGTCTTGTTCAAACTACTGCATAACACTTCATTCTCCATGTAAAAGATAAATCATGCAAAATTCAACTCTCAAACAAAATATACTTTACTATTCCTCAGCAAATGATATAGATCCTTGGGAAAAGTAGTTGGATTTTCTCTCTCTCTCTCTCTCTCTTTTAAATTTATGACATTTGTATTATGGACACGACAGTCTACCAAAAATGAAGTAAAAGAATTTAAGGAACAGTTTTTATTATTTACTGACAAAGAATTTGCGCTTTAGGAGGGCTGTATAACATTTTTCCTTATTTTCAGAGCCACATAGAGAGATAAATTTTGGATTACATGTTAGAGTTAATAAATAAATCTAGTTTTTTCGAATTCTTGAACTAATCGCATAGAATTCATAGAATTTATAAAAGATTGTTGATGAGAAGCTGCCACTCGAGTAAAAGTTGCAGGTAAGATGATTATTTTTACCAAAACTGTTCTAATACATTCTGATGATGCTACTAAAGTTCCTCATTATGGAAGACATAAAAATGTCATAAAGGGACATGAAAAATACCTTGAATTTGTTTTGTGATTACAGTACAACCTTACAGCACCCAAAGGAGACATTAAAAGATACGTCAAAGGATCAACATTTGCACTAGGAATGATGGGAATTAGAATACAATTTAAAGAGACGTTTTTTTACTATTCTAACATAAGATCCAATCTTTAGGTTTAGAAAAATGATTTGTAATTTACGCAATCGAATATTATTTTAAAGAAACTAAACTAGCTCGTTTGGAGTAAGTAAAAGTCCTACTGATAACAATTCAGAATTATTTAAATTCTTTAAATACAGTACCTAATAAATTGTCCTAAAAAAGAATACTAAAACACCGTTTTGCAGTCACTGTAATCTATTTTGTTGAATCGTTTCTAAAAAGAATTGTTCTTTGTAGAAAAGTTTTCTAAATGATAAACTATATAGACTACTTTAAACGGATTCCGTAACTTTTACGACTTTTCAAGTCTTCTCGTGTAGGGAGCAGATGATCGTTGAAACGATCACGAAACTCTTCTATTTATTCTGTAAAGTAGATCTCAAAGAAACGGCTATTTAATTCTCGTCAACATTCGGTTAAATTTTATAAATTTTCTACTCTTGGAGAAATAAGATCTAGGAGAAATAAGATGAATTCTACCCTAGGTGTATTATTTCATAATTGAAATTTTTCAATTATAAAATTTTTGAAATTTTTCACTTTTATTTAAAGTGCCGAATTTGATTAGAACTTAATTTCTAGATAAGTTTACACCTAATTATTATACTGATTAATTACTTAAATACAGAGGAACAATGATAGAGAAATTTCCAACTTTTATTATATTAGTCCATTGAAACATTTTTCAAAGTAACAATAATTCTATCCTTCCTTAACAAAGTTTAGAAGCGGGACTCAAAGTCAAAGAAGGTATTTCTTCTAACTTTGGAAAATAAAAGCAATCTCCACTTTCAAAAGTTTTGTGCTCAGTAGCTGATAAAATGAGAAAAATACTATCAGCATTGTTACGATATATTCTTTGACTGAATTAAAATTAATTAGATCATTTAAAAAAAATTAATAAATTTATTCTTAATTTACGTGATATATTTTAATGGCTACTGATTAACGTAAAATTAACTGTCTACAAAATAATTGAAAAGAAGCATTAAAGACTTATTGATTTACTCTCTTGGATGCTATAAAGGAGCATTGATTGCGAATTGTTCTAGCAGAAAACAAATCGTAACTATATAATGATATAAAATTCTTTTGACGGAAAAAGAAATATAGTCTTTTGAAAGGAGTTTTATAAGAAGATAAAGTACAAGTATACAATTGTTACCATTTTTTTTTATCTTTGTCAAATGCAGCAACACTTTTAATTGAATAGAAATTTTTATGTGAAACAAATGCCAATTGCATGGCACGGATTTTTGAAATTAAAATTAACAGTATGGATGTATTGATTATTTAGGAAGACTTAAAGACTTGAGTATTTGATGAAAGTGGTATCAGGAGCTTATCATGAAATTTGAACGAAATCCTTAAAAAGGACTTTTGGAAAGAATCCTGATGATGTGGTCCTACAATTATCAACAATCTACATCTTGAAAGCTGTCATTACGCTTGTCAAGCGTATAACTAGGAAGTAGCTCAGAAACTTAAAAGGGGAAATGTAATAGATTCTAGCAAAGATATTTTGACCTAGGGCAAGTTTGCAATGGGAATTACGATTTGTATGATAGTAGAAAAATTTGGAATCGAACGCAGGTCATTGTAGTAGACCTTAATCAAGATTCTCGCTAACAGTACATGTAGGTCCCCTAAAAATTTTGAGAACAAAATTTATTTTCTGTTGCTAACAATCTTTAATTAATTCACTATAGTTTAGGAAATTTGGAGACCTGCAGCAGTTGAACTAGATAAATCTCTGTAAAACATGGGTTTATTGGGTGACCATACTACCGAACATCATGAATATTATTGAAAGTTAAGTAGACCTTGTAGTATTACTGGGGTTTTTCATTAACGCCCAACTAAACAGCAAGAATAAATGGATTCTAGAAATTCAGAGAAAGCACCCCAAAAAGGAAAAAGCCAGAAACAGAAAATCTCATCTCCTTGACTGGTGCTCAAGTGCGCACGAATTGCGTTAAAGACAAGAGTGGTCATCCGCTTATAACCAGATATCTAAATTCACAGATTTTCCACTTCCAACTAGCAGTAATTTATGCACTGGTAACTCAAAGTTAACTTTATCAAATGCTTTGGAACGATCAGTATAGATCAGGTCAATCTGAGGATTATCATTTAAAAGATCATGAATGTTGCATGAATTGTTAAAGTTTTGATAAAAGATGATAAAGTGCATACCTCATTGAAGCGGTTAATGAGGGTCTGCACGGAGGTTGTAACAGAAGAAGCAGTAGGCCAGGAGGCCTCTTCTTCCGTCTGCGTTCCGCTGCTCGTCGTACAGGGAAAACTGGGACCCAGACCAAGAGAAGTGGATGATCTGGCTGATGATTGCTTTTGGGATAAGACGGGATCTTGTGCCACGTGCCGCAGATATTCGCTGGGTGGTACCTGATAGAATAAGTGGTACTCAGTCTCCGCCAACCTGAGCGCCACCTCCTCGGGGAAGTGCAGCAGCTTTTGCAAATCCTCCAGCTCCTCAGAGCTCCGAGGCAGCTGCGGCTGCGGCCGCTTCTCCAGCTCTACAACAAAAGAAAACATTTTACATTATTTATCAATGTGAACGATTTATGCAAATTAAATATTAATCTTTAGAGCCTAAAATCTTTCTCCTAGTGTTTATCATCAATTAAGCATTAATTGTGATCGATTACTAATGATTTTCTTTTTGCTTCAAAACTTTTGGGAAATCTGCATCCAATCTTGGATTCCGCACTACAATACTATGTCGGGGGATTGGTGAAATAAAAAAGAAAATATAAAATAATAAGCTTAACAAACTTCATCCAATTCCTTTTAGTACCCACTAATGCGCCATTGAATTTCACTTGTGACACGATCTACTATTTTCATAATTTTTTTTCAGTCATACCGTGTCAGCAGTAAAGTCGATTGATACAAGTGCCTTAGTGACAGCTATTAAAGTGCTGTCAATTCAGAAGAAAGAACTCCATTAAAAACTGGAACACCTACATTCATTGCTAATCGAATTGATTGATAAGATCAATCTAACTTTGATCTAATCTTTAACAACACACTTCCGATAAAATTTTAAGACCAACACACAAAGTATCTTAAATTTACTTTCCTCTCAAAGTGATAACGGATTATTCTAAAAATTAATAAATTTGTTTTTTTCAAGAAACTTTTTCCTCATATAATGTATTACCTACCACCAGTTTTATTCTCTGTGGAGAACATGTAAAATATGTTCCTAATGTTCTCGCTGACATGCTATCAGTCAAATAATCGATTTTTAATACTCGGAGATAAATTGTACAATTTTTTTCATTTTATCTCACATATTTCACAAATTTGACACAGTTTTGCTCACATGAAATCCTTCATAAATATAATAAAGACTTCAATATTTTGTGTCAATTAAAAGAGAGTGTTATAAGTAAAGGGAGCATAAGAAATATTATTGTAGAACTTTTGCAACATATATCAAGATGAAAATGAATTTTTATAAATAAAATATATAAAAGAAGAGGGAAAATAGAAAAATTTTAATTGGAAGTATTAATGAAAAGAAGAGAAGCGTATTTTGCACTTTATTACAAAAACTAAAATCACGGACATGTAATTCATTAAAAGTATTTAGAAAATTTTTTAGCATAGCAAAAGCTGTAATTATTTTAAACTAAAGCTATTATATTTTGTATGTAGTTTATAGTGCTGTGCAGCTTTATATTGCAATTACTGGCATTATATTACTGTCGTTATTACATAAGTTTAACGTACATTAATTATCAAGTTTTCTCATAAACTTTTTAAGAACATTTAATTGATATTTACAAGTTAATACAGTAGTGTTTCATATTTTAAAGAAGTTTAAGGAAAGGAATATTTGAAATATGATTTTCAGTTTCTAAAATTAATATCCTAACTTGAAATTCAATTCAAAAATTAAGTGTTTATAAATTTTTGAAATTTCAAGGAGAAATTCGTAAGATCCGCCGAGTAACAAGTTTTATATTCTTTTCATGATTTTTAATTTACCATCCGCCATATTGGATCCGCCATTTTGAATTTTGAAAATCTGACTTTAGATTCGTAATCAGCGATCCATGAAGTTAAATTTTTGAGACAACCCTGAAAATATATTATTTAAAAAAAAATGTTTTCATTCCCTTAAGAATACATTCTGACTAAAGATTAAAATAATAAAAATTTCAAATTCGAATTATGAATCCCATAAAGCGAACTTATCATATTCCTTAGAAATCTGAATTATACTGATATAAATGCTTGAATCTTACTCTTCTTTTGATCTGAATATTCTTTCCCCTTTTTTTCTTTTCTTCTTTTTCTTTTATCGAAATCGAGACTTGGAAATGAATCTAAAATGAGATTAGAGGACGAATGCCAAATCGTAAAAAAGAATAAATGTTCCCAGATCGTAGGGAAGGTTAAATACTTCTCTTCAGTTTGATCCGATCGTCGTTTTAAGTTTACTTGAACGGATGAAACAGTTGAAGCGAAAATTAATAGGGTATGCTGTGCGCGGATACTGGTTAAAGCTTTGTATAGTTTTCTTTCCCTAAGGGACAGCAAGGGAGTTCGAGTTGAATTTAAATAACAAGGGAAACATCGATCCCACATACCATTGTGTCCAAGTGTTTCCTATAAATTCTTAAAAACCCATCACTACAAAAAAAAAAAAAAAACGCGAACAGGGAAAAAATTGAAATTCAATAATAAACTATATATATGAGTCGTTCAAGCGAATAGAAACTTTCAAATATTGGGTTGTAATTTTAAAAACTATATTTCAAACGAAAAAATAGAACTAAATCTATCATCTATAGTATAATATGAAAAACTTTTAACATATTTTTGTTATCATTAATTATAAATCATTTGATGAATCATTAAAAAAAGACAGTAGCTTATTAATTTCTATTAAAAAATTTATATTTGCTGATCTAAATATTTCCAGATTTATAAATGATAAACTGACAGTTATTGGATAACTGACAATCGTAATTAGTAATTAGTTATTAGTTATTAGTAATTAATAATTAGTTAATCACAAAATTTAGTATTTAATTTCGCTGCTGGAAGAAAATGAAAATCCATTCATAGTTAACATACATTAACAATATTATAATGTTCCTGAAACTTTAATAGGAATCTCGACAAGCCTTGAGGATACATTTTGAACACTTTCAAAATAATAAATTAATAGATTGGCTTACTAATTTAAATTACTATTTACTGCAAGAGACATAATATTCTAATAATTATGCAAAATTCGTCTTCACAATTAAGAAAAATATTTTTAACAAAAAAATTCTACGAAACGGTAAATCCAAGAAAAGTACAGGATTGATGATACGCCAGGGTTGCACGGTTGGGCGCAATTCGAAGTATTTTACGTATATTACGTAAAAAATGTAATATACGTAAGAAAGCTGTAATGAATGTAAAAAAAAGATGTCGGACAATTTAAGAAGCGCTAAAAGCATAATATTTGAAAATTACACGTGCGTCGTCAATGTCATGCATAATAAATTCATCAGATTATTAAATATAAATTATATACAATGAATCGACCAAACAAAAAATGACAACCGATTCCCTGGGAAGAATTAGGGTTTGAACGTCAAAAAACAGAAAAAGGAAAGGCTATTTTGAAATGCTTGTGCAAGAAAATTATTCAAACCTCTGCTTATAATCGCCTTGTTGCTCACAGGTATGTAAAGTTTATGATTAAATAAATAATGTTTTGAAAATATGAATTATTATTTTATAATTCATTACTTATGAATGCTTTTTAATGCTTAAAAGCTCATGATGAAGATGATTTTGACAGGTTTATGACGGGACAGTATATTGTATAGGTTATGTTTACGAATTCTATTTGTACCATTCAATGGTACCATTTGTACATAAATTTAGAAAATTTAGATAAATAAGTAATAAATAAATAACTCAATCATAATTTGTAATATTCAAAATACATTTATTTATATAACAACATATAATCTTCATCCAAATCTAACTGTAGGTTAGGTCTTAACCTCTCTTCGGATGTACCCAGATAACAATCGTGCGTCGCACGTTTCTCGCACCACATGCGATTCGCACTGGTGATAGCATTTTGCGTGCAATTTAGCAGTCACCTGTGATGCAGTCACTGGTGAGAGTAATATGAGTCGCACCTGAGCATCACGGTATGCTTGTAGCACACTCTATCGCACGATGCGTTCGCACATGACAGTCATCACTGATGAGAACATAAGTGCGAGTCATATGAGTAGTATATATGCGGATTATGACAAAATATTTTTAAGTCTTATTTAAAAAATCGCCTTGAGCCTTTTATATTGTTAGTTAAAATGTTGATCTTAAAGTTCGTGTATAAAAAATGAAATTGAAATTTTTCAGACTTCAAAAATTTTGGAAAATATGTAGTTTTAAATTTTTTAATATTCAAAAAATTAAAAATTTACTTCAAAATCCAAAAGTCAAAATTTAGTAAAGTAATTAAACGTCTCAAAAAATGTCATTAATAATTTTTTTCTTTTTCTTAAAAACTAATTAGCTATTGAATCATTCCATTAATGCCGACTAATTAAAAAAATATATTTTGCAAGAATGATTTTAAGGTATGTCTCCGGCTGCTACTCTTGAAAAAATTGATTTTCGATAGATTTTCTTCAAATTTTGAGAAAATGTTTCTTCGGGTGCCCTTTAAATGTGGTAAAAATTTAAAAACCCTTTGCGATGCTAAATTTTGAGTTATTCAAGTGCAAATTTTATCTTTTACATGGGATTATGTTGAAAATAAAAAATTTCAACCACAATATCTCGTTTTTTGACATGGCAGAGGGTTTTCAAATTTCTACCATATTTAAAGGGCACCCGGAGAAACATTTTCTCAAAATTTGAAGAAAATGTATCGAAAATCAATGTTTTCAACAGTAGCAGTCGGAGAAATAGCTTAAAGGAATTAGGATCATTAAACAAAACAGATTTTTTAAAAATATTTTTAGTATTTATTGTAAAATAAGTATCTAAAATATATATGAGGTCGTAATAACTGTCACTCTTTCTTTTATTTAAAAATATTAAATTTTTATGGTTGCCACAGAGCCTGGAAAACCTGAAAAAGGTATGGAATTTAGAAAAGGCTATGAAAAATCTGGAAATAGTATGGAATTTAAAAAAATTTCTGGAATTTTGACTGTTTTTCAAGATTTTTACCAAAATTTTAATTTAAAATTGAAAAATGTTTTGTCTTATCGTCATATAAAAATCTTTACTAAAGAAAAAAATTTTAGATCGTAATTATTATTAAATTTTTTGTATTTGGATTTTTTTAAAAATTTTAAGAGCCAAAGCTTTGTTATCAAGCTAGAAATTATTTAAATTTTGAACTGGAATTTCATATAAGTATTCACCTGGAAAAACATGGAAAAAGCTTGGAATTTTATATTTATATGTTGTGGAAACCATGATTCATTTTTCTGAAAGAAAGTTATTTACATTTTAAAATCGTGAAAATATGCAAAGTGTTAATTTTAATTGCTTATTCTTTCACACTTAAAAAAAAGAATGAAAGTGATAAGAAGAAGTAACAGTTAATCGCAGGTACTTCATGATTTGATAAAGTTTTATTTAAGTTAATGATGTTTCTTTCTCGCATTTAGTTAATGAATATGGCAAAATTAGGTTATTTGTCAATTGAACATTAAAATCATTTTTAATTTAATAGTTTTTATTAATAATTGTTTCCATCAATTTATAAAAATAAACTAAGTCATTCTTATTAAATTCCAATAATTTTTTTACACTTGCAAAGTGAATGAGTTTTCTTTAGATGCTTATTTTACAATAAATACTAAAAATATTTAAGGCCAAGTAGAAATGTTTTACAACATTTCGATTAAAAAATTTTTTTTTATTTTTAGTCAAAATTCCACGAATTTTGACCCTATTAATTTACCTATAATTTTTAAAATTAGTTTTAAATTTCATGAATCTGTAATGTTATCAATCAAAAATAGATTTTCTTGATTCAAACTTGAATCAATTTACACATTTTTAAATGCAAGATGTTTTATGTTGCTTTAGTAATAAAATCCCCCAAATATCAAAGTGCGCGCACTGTGCCAGACACAGTGCTAGCATGCGTGCGACATAATTCGCACCGCGTGCAGCACTAGCATTGATATAATAGATTAGAAGAGTTCTCATTCAGCCATCAGTGGCCGTGCGGTTTAAATGCGTTGCGTTATATGCTTCCGGTATGCGTCGGGGCGGGGGGACGTGAGTTCGATCCCACATGCGAGGCGGATATTTTTCATCCAAAGCGTTATATTAGATAATAAAATTATTATTTAATCTGTATAAATTATAATTGTTGCGAATAAAAACTTCTGAAAATATTTGTAAATAATATTAAAAATCTGTTAAAAAATGTACCACATTAACACAAATTATCTTTTTTTACTAAAGTTATTTTTTAAAATTACTATTATAAATGACATTTATATTGTTAGTAATTTATTATTGACATGAAAATAATATAATATTTAAAATAATAACAATCAATAATATTTATTATTATAATTATTAACAATTCATAAATTTATATTATATTGAATGAACGCGAGCAACGCGTAAATTTTAGAATAGTGAAAGCAGTCTTGTTTAGTCCTGCATTAGGCTTCCGCAGCATTAATTTATAATATTAACATTATTAATTATTTTTTTAAAGGTACTTTGATTGTTATTATAGGTTAGCTACTCGCTGTACTATCTTGTCATGCAAGTAATATGCGACCATCATGACGTGCGACTCATATGCGACGCATATGAGGACGCATCTGTGTGGTCCAGTGATAGCACGCGGTGCGAATTATTTCGCACGCATGCCAGCACTGTGTCTGGCACAGTGCGCGCACTTTGCTATCTGGGTATTAGAGAAGGTTTGTTTGCATCCTTGACAAAAAGCCACACTTTTCCCAATTTCCTTTTTTGATATAAATGATAGTTTATTCCAAAAGTTTTGACGCGGCCTTGCACCTCTAAACTTTTTTTAAATGCAATTTGTTGGGACAAAGAATAAAAAAATATCCAACGGCAATCATGTAAACAATTCAGCCATTTTGAAAAAGTAAATTACGTATAAAACTGGGCACGTAAATTAAGGATGTAATATACTGTAAAAAACTATAGTTTTTTTTTTTTTTTTTTTTTTTACATATATGTAATTTACGTCAGGTAAATTACGTACGCAACCTTGATACCTATTTACTGAAGCAATTTTCGAATCAAAATTTATTATGAATTTGCATCAGGATGGGAGATATGCAGGTTGGTCAATCTAATAATTCTGTTTATTTAGATTTGAGGGTACTTGTAATTTATACAATCGAATATTATTCATATGATGATTCAATATTATTCATGAACGTTCTTATTCAAAAATATAATAAAATATATTCAAAACTATATGGGTTTTCACTCGAACTATAAAATATAATTTTATGTAACACTTGAAATATAAAAATCAATGTAGGTCCCTATATCCCTATTTGGTTTATAATTCAAAAACAATAAAAGTTTGAATGCATTTGGGTTCTTAACACAACACAGGATCGTAAGAAGTAACTTATAGGATCCCGTATGGAAAATTATATAAATTCCTGTGTTCCGGAAATGCAATTTCAACTTTTAAAAATAAAGAATATTTTATTTAACATGTCCTGAAATTTTATGTTTATTTGCTTCTCATGTGTACCGAGAGGATTCACATGATACATTTTCTTGTTTAACTTATCTTACGCGCCAGGACTAATTATCTCATTAACTCCGTTGTCAACAGGTTAAGTAGACAAGGCAAGTTTAACAACTTGTTTATTAATTTCTTCTCACTATATTCTAAAATAAATAATTTTTTTAGATTTTTTTTGAAAATTTTTTTTTATGAAAATTTTATTTGATTTCAGTCAGATATAGTAAATTTTTTGTAATCTACTTTTTTTTAAGATGTATTAAAAGAAAACCATGTAGGTTGACGATGGTTTAAAAATAGATACTTCTGTTTCATCAAAATCTGTCTTGTGTGTGTTCTACTTTTAAGTGAACTTTCTAATATCACACATAGTCTTTATAGAATTAGGGGAATTCTGTTTATGTTTTTTTCTTCACGTTTTCATGATTATTTTAATGTCAAATTTTTGTGCAAGTTTGATAAAAATTAGAATACAATTTGAGAAAAGAAATAAAAAAATGAAAAAAAAATTTAAAGTAAAAAAAATATTGAAAAGTTACGAGAAAGAAATTTTTCGATTTTATATTAAAATGATAATAAATAAATAGAAAGGAATTGTGGAAAACAGTCAGGTTTTGTATCAAGTCACTGTTTTGTTACTTATCCCCTCTTCGTATAGTGACTCATAAAAGTCGGTATAATAGGTGAACAACAAAAAAAGGGTTTTTAAAATTTTAATGACCTACTGTATCGTAAAGTTACGACTGTTATTTATTTTTTCTTTTTGAAAGCAGAAAAATGGAGGGAAAATAAAAGAGAAAAGAAAGAAAAAGAATGTTTTTTTTTTTTATAAAATGAGGCTCATTACTTTTGAAATAAGAAAAGCGTACCTTATCAGGTAATGATGCGGCCACGTGGGTGTGGAGGATGCGGAAGTGGCTGAATATCGTGTTGATATAAAAATAAGACGCAATCACGCAGAAAGCGGGTCGTCGCAAACTTGCTTGTTGTATTGTCGTCGTCGGCAAAGCATGTACACATTCAATAATCGAACAGCTGAAGAAGAAAACGTCTCTTCGCACTTTTCCAGCCTACATCAAGTCGACTGCATCGATAAATCCAATCGTCTGCCGTCTTCCCTTTATCCATACTTCTTTCTCTGTTTAACGTTCGTACGCATCGATGCCGCGCTCTGAAATAAAAAAAAAAGAAAGAAGAAGATGAAAATAAAGGTCTCGTTTTATTATTAACTCACAGGGAGTGATTTGTGACTTTTCCAAACGAATCTGTCCAAATCGTTAGACAGGCATTCTCCTCTTTCCTCTCTGTAATAACCAAACGAATGAAGATGGGGCTGAAAAGCAGACATCAAACTTTTATTTTCTTTTAAGGAAAATAGAAGAAGAAGAAGCAGAAGCTTTTCTCTTCTTATGTTTGATATCAAACTTTCTCGTTTCAATTTATTCATAACCAAAATAGAGAGAAAATATAATGGTGAATCAAGATTATTTCTTATCCGATTTATATATATAATATAGCCGGTATTTTATTAGTGGTACAAAAATAGAGGACATTTATATGCCTCTTCAAATATTTTATAAATAATTTTCCCCTCGAAAAATTGTATCGATTGGAGAATATCAATAAACCGTCAAAAACAGGAAACAATTGGTATATAATAATTTTATAAATATATCCGTCTATAGTGGGAATTATATAATAATTTTCAATGAGATCTGCTGATTTCATTGTTAAATAAAATTTGTTCACGAAATAAAAAAATAAATGTAAATAATAAAAGAAATTATTGATTATCATGTTTAAATTGGAGTTGTTTGTAATTTTGTATTTGGATTAATTAATCACGTTTCATTTTAAATTAAAAAGAATTTGTAATTAACACAATGGAATATTAATCAGGATGATAGTAGCAAGATGATGCCTTCTAATACTCAAGTTTATTTAGAATTAAATATTATAGAAATTAACGAAATCGAATATTATTTATAAAAAAAGATGCAGGATAGTAAGACCTACTACTAAACTTTATTTATATTTATAATTTGTTAGTAATTTGCACTGTCAAATGTTATTTAGTATGGAACACCCAAGATGGTAACTATACTCAAGTTTCTTGTACTAAGGATTCATTTAAAATTAAAAGCTATTTGTAATTAACACAATCGAATATTATTTATAAATAAAGATGCAGGATGGTAAGATCTAGTACTCAAATTTATTTACATTTAATATTTGTTAATAAATTGCAGACTCGAATATTATTCATGAAGGAACGTCAAAGATAGTGACACCTTATTCTCAAGTTAGAAAAGAATTACAAATTAAATAAAAAAGTTAAAAAATAAAAAATGATTTGTAATTAACACAATCGAATATTAATCAGGATGGTAGAGGCAAGATGATACCTTTCCAACAGTCAAGTTTATTTAGAATTATAAATCTTTCGGTATGGAAAAACAACATATAAAATTCTCTAGAATTATTTAAGTTTGGTAAACTTGAAAAATTTCGACTGAACGGTGAAATAAGGTCATATGTTGCTTTAGCTCTAATAAAGTAGACAGAAATAGAGTAGCGGCGTGCCGAATGGGTTTTGGAACACTGAATAAATTCGAACCTCGCACTCTTTCTCTCTTTCTCTCTGTGGATAATTATCCCCCTTTTTTACATTGAATCCGTGCATTGAACTATAACAGAATCAAAATGCGAATCACATTGTTAAAGAGAGAATCATGCCGCTTGGGGGAAGAGAATATATATTCCCATTTTGATGCCATTTATCTTTGTCGAAAATATATAGACAATCCAACTAACTACAAATACATGATTCTCATAATGATATATGAAATGCAACACTCTCGCATATCATATGTAAACAATTCTAATCGTTCCTAATGAAAGAGAATACCAATTTAATAACTCCGCTTTTCATTTCAATTTGTATGAAATATACTGTTATACCTCCTTCATTAAATTTCCTCTCAATACTAATGAAACGAGTCATGAGAATTGTATACATATTATGGATATTTCCTTATTCTCTCCAGGGATTAAGATTGTGAAAAAATTAGTCGTAAAACTTAATCAAGTAATGACTGTTACCTATTCGACCTTGCAAATATGTTCACGCAAAATTTAACTTTATCTCTGTAAAGTAATAATTGAAAGTTGGGAAAGGAACATATTAATCTCTTAAGAGGCAGACAATAGTGAAATTGACAAATACTTGTTTACAGTATAAAGTCAATTATTTTGTATATAATATAAAGGAGGGAGATAACTATATTCCATCTGCATGAACATAGATATAATGCTCAAAGTTCCACTTGTGGGATAAACTTTCAAAACATATTTTCCATTTATCACACTTTGTATCATTTTTCCCTTATTAGTTATAAATATAAAAAAAAATGTTCCAGGCTACATCAATATTATAACAAAAAACTTATTAAAGATCGCAGTAGAAGAAAATTCAAAAACAAAAAATTATCCCTTTATTAGTTAAATATAAGAAATGTTCTAGACAATCAATATAAAAACTTATTAAAGATCAGTAGAAGAAAATGAAAAACAATAACTGACCCCTTATTAGTTAAATATAAGAAATATTCCAAGGTACATCAATATAAAAACTTATTAAATATCAGTAGAAGAAAATTAAAAACAAAAAATCTTATCCCTTATTAGTTAACTATATAAGAAATGTCCCAAGGTACATCAATATAAAAACTAATTAAAGACCAGTAGAAGAAAATTAATAACAAAAAATTTTTTCCATTGTGTAGTTGAAGAACTATTTTTCTATTTTAATATATTATAATACTGGGTCAATAACCTCTTGACATTTTGGTAAAGTTTTTCTATAAAGAAAAATCGATAATTTAATTCACATTTCTCCATTAACGTCAATTTTCATATTGTAATTAGAAGACCTCATAAAACATGACATTGATCGTGACAAACAATAATACACCTGTCAAAAAATAATTCTATACATTGAAATATTATATACTTTTTTGTCAAATAAATGGTAGATGAAAAATTCTTTATCATAATACATAATTGCATATTACATATGGGAGTTTGGAGTTTTCGTTTTGCTGCCCTAGAAATTATTTACAATAAAATTAAACAGGATTAAATAAACAGAATTGTGAAATACTAACAAAGACTTTTTACTGTATATATTCTGTTTAATTATCGGATAAAATAAAATTACTGAAAAAAGGCAATTTAACTTTTTTAAAAATAATTGTAATTCTTTTATATTTTGAAATTACAGTTGAAATTGTATACTATATGTTAATATTATTATTTGATGGTACATGAATTGTAATTGAATATAATACTGTTTATACGTATCTTTGAAATATTTGATAGTTTCAAATTTATATAACAATATTCAAATCAAAGTAGAACAATATTGAAGTCAAAATTAAATTATTTTTCCAGTAATATTAGAAATTGGAAATTTTTATTGATTTTGAAGTTTTTTTGGTACAAATTTAACTGTAAAGGATATATAAAATCCGAAGGATGTAAATTAAAAACAATTGAAAGTTTGTTACAAGCCATTAGGGGAGTAGCATTTGTGGTTGAAATCCAATAAATTGAAAGCACTTGTATTTTAACGTTGTTTAAAATGTTTCCTGTTGTATATATATATATATATATATATATAAAACCGCCAAAGGTGACAGAAAATCGTGAGAGTTATTATTCGTTATAAAATAATTGTATAAAGCATGTAATGGGGTCAAAAAGTGAAATTTTTGTATGCTTTTTAAATTATCGGTTATCAATAATAAGTATTTTAAGGTTAACGAGAAATTAAATATTTGTCTAATCTTATATTTGACGCATGCAAATTTTTAATTTTCTGATCGATTTTTTTTTGAATAAAAAATTCAGGCATCAAATTTCTATACTTTAGATTTACAAAATTATGTCTATTAGAATTATTTGAACAACATTTAAGATGACAATTATGAAAAAGAATTTTTTTACATAAATTATTAAGAAATATTTATAATGAAATGTCTATAAAATAAATTGATACTGTGTTTAACTTGCATTTTTCTTTTGATCTTCTAGGGTAAAAGTAAAAACTTGGGTAAAAGTCATATTTCATATATTTTCTAGAAGAATCATTTTTCTTCTCCGAATAGTTTATGAAGATGCATCAAAATACTTATGAAAGTTGATATTAAAAATTATTACCCTGCTTTATTTATGTATCTTTGAGCATTCCTAATAAGATGATACAAATATTATATGCTACCTTGTATGTCGCAGTTCAACTTGTCCAATGAAAAAATTTTAAATTAAAAAATTTAGTCCTATAATTTAATTCCTTTTTTGAAGATTGATAATTATGAAAGAACTTTTGTGTCAACGTAAGGTTGACGAACAACCATAATTCGAAGAGCCGGATTTTGTAATTGTTTTAGGTAAAAATATCCGAACTTTGAAAAACGTGTCGAAGTGAGGTGGGAACAGCTTTGAGAATCTCAAAGCTCTTTCAATTAATTCTTTTTTTTCGAAGCTTTCAACTTCAATCATCGATTATACTGGAGCTGCAAATGAGACTGAAATTCATGCAGAAAGACTGATTAACAGATTCATGCCATCGATATCTGCTTCAAATTCCGGAAAGATTCTAATTTAAATATAGAAGATTTTAAGGATATTAGAATACTCAAATTTATTTAAATTCACAAAGTATTTGTAATTAACACAATCGAATATTATTCACGAAAGAAGATGCAGGATTGTAAGACCTATATTACTAAAATTTAGATTTATAATTTGTCAGTAATTTGCACTGTCGAATGTTATTTAGTAGCGAACGTCGAAGTTGGGTAACATCATATACTCAAGTTTCATTTTAAATTAAAAATGATTTGTAATTAACACTATCGAATATTAAGTAGGATGGTAGATGCAAAATGACTAACTCTTACATTCAAGTTGTTTTAGAATTAAATAATTAGAAACTAACTTTATCGACGATTATTAATTGAAGAAGATGCTGGATGGTAAGACCTAGTACTTAACTTTATTTAAAATTAAAGTTTGTTAGTAATTTGGAAATTCAAAAATGATTTTGAAAGGGTGATGGAAGATGGTCAGGTAATGCTCCAATTTATATTGATTTGCATTTTATTAGTG